AAAACATTGATCAAAAAATTACTTACCGAGCGCGAAAACACGTCCATGCCTGTAACTTCATTCTCATCGGTGCGAATTTCGCGAAACTTCGATTATGTATAGTTCGTACCTCGACTCATGCACACATACAAAAACAAGACTGTACTTTGTTTCGTTCAAGTTTTATTTCGACTGTATGAATGTGCCCCGCGTACGAAGGGTAACAATCTTCCCCTATATGTCGCACAACTGGAGGCTGTACAAAAGAAATTCTTACGTATTCTAAATTATCGTATGAATGGTGGTAGGGCTAAATATAAGGAACTTTTAAATAAATATAAATTACTTTCTTTGAGTACTAGGCGTAATTTGACTGACTGTGTCACGATTAGAAAAATATGCGTAAATGTAATAACTTGTTCCCATCTTCTCGAACTGATACCATTTAATGTTCCTGCCAGATCTCTGCGCTCGCACAGAACTTTTAACCTTCCAACTCCCAGAACCAACATTGGGTTCCGTGAGCCTCTTCACGTGTTCCACCTTGGATTCTGTCACTAACATCGACCCTTCTTCGCACTCCTCTACTGCTTCATTTAAGAATAAGTTAAAACTCTTAATGTCTTAAGCCTTGTATCTTCCTTGTTTTTTTTACAGCCCCTAGTTTAGTGTTAAATTTTGTGCTATCATGTTTTGTCTTGTTTTACTTTGTATTGTATTCTTTATCAGTGAAACTTTTTATGTGGATATGTCCAATGTGTCTATTTATTTTATGTTTTACATTTATTTTATTTTTACTGTAATAGAGATGTATCTGTTTAGTTTCCTTAATAAATAAATAAATAATTACTGTTTTTAATATTTCAAATGATTGCTAATGAATAATTGCAGTTAATATTATATTATACGTTATGACCTATCGTTCGGAGCTCTGTTATTTGCGTTTAAAATCGCACTCACATAGGCATGTGATGTAAACTCTCATGATATAAACGTAAAGTCTATCAAATCGCTAAGTAAAATAGTAATTTCTTCAAGTAAGGATTAGTAAATAAGTAAATCTAGCATAAGCTAGATAGGAGCTCATTTTTTATTCATAAATTTTTCGGAAATAAGCGTCATACAGCTGTAGTGGAATTTGAACCGTGAAATGTAGAATTAAACAAAAACGCGGGCCAACTCCGCGTTCCAATCGTTATTCGTAATCGAGACGACACAAAAAGTGCAGCGCCATATCCGATGGACGGGACGATTTTCCACTCAAAGGCCTAATTGAATATCCAGAAAGAGTAACCTATTTTCAAAAAAAAAATAAGCTCTAAAGTGAAAAGAGACGTAATTAGAATATTTCATGTAATATTTCTTCTTTTATATATTTGACGAAGCTTCATCGAGAGCCACTGTTCTAAGAAAGCATTATAATAGTTTTGAAAATATATTTCGAATGCAAATCAAAACTGTGCATTATTACACAATCGTACACAAACTTTCATGTTTCTTGCTGGAATCGATTATAAACATTGACTTTTCTGACATATATGTTTCTGAACTTTATAAGGTGTGAATATTTTATTTTAAACAACTGTATTGGTATATCAATATACAGCGCACATATGTACATATCTAAATAGGTGACGCAATAAAAACAATTCTGCAAAAATGTAATGACATGGACATGATGATATGTAATCGCAACTTAAAACTAAGCGTAATAATGATCAAGAATGAAGAAGTCAGGTTTTCTCCGACTGAGCTAAGAAAACATTGTGCTTAGAGAGAACTGATGCAACTCATTTCCAAGCAATAGTTAGGATCGTTAAACTCGTCTTTTACTTATAGTATAAGATCCCGCTATACAACGACCTTCACCGAGATGCTTATTTAATGAAACTTATTTTATATTTAATTTAATATGTTAATAAATATAATCCATATGGGTTGCCTAGCAAATTTCAGTCCAGAGTATGTTTAATTAATATTTAAAAAAAATTTGAAGTTGTACTTCTTTAGGCGCGTTATGAAAAATTGATGAGAGTGAAATTTTACGATTGCGCGCGCACCTATGACACAAAATTGGCAGTGTGATATAGCGTGCGCGAGCGAGATGGGAATAAGACAAACTACAAGTAAAGAAATAGAATATGCGTGAAGCTAACTTCACGCATATTCTAGCTTAGCAGCTTAACAAGAATTTTGAATGACCATGACAATTGACATCTGACAATGACATTTACCTTTTAAACAAATATAGGAGTTTTAATTATTGTTTAAAATTAATAATTATATACCTAGTTATTTTCATTATACAAAATATTTGTGAAATAATATAAAATATTTGTGAAAAAACTGTGCTAACCTTCCTGAGTGCTTCAATACAATTGAGGTTAACTATCCGTATGTATTATCGAGTATTATTGTTGATTAAAACTGAAACATGAACCCTTATTCATTGCTTTTGTTTATTGCGTTTGTTACAGCAACTTTTTAGAAATATTCTACGACCCTATATATCAATAATTGAGAACAAAGATTTAAGCACGAATACTAATAAGGAGAAAATGAAGGCTTGGAGCGATATAACAGAGAAGTAAACATTTTAATAAGTACCTGCATCTCAAAAAAATGACCACATTATTTAATCAAAACATCAGATTTAATCTAGCAAATATAAGGACAAGAGACAAAAAACAATTGATGAATCAGTGGAAGTGCACTAAATTGAATACAAAAAAAGAGTTGTCATCTTATCGCCGTGAAACATCAAAAACTGGAGGTGGAACAAAGCCACCATCACCTTCTCGAGACACAATGGTTTGAAGTAGATTTCAATGAATTTGATTGTGATGGTGTCGAGGTAGGAATGTTAATTATAAATATGATGTATGGTGATGTTCAAGGTTCAACCTTTCAAGCATAGGCATATGCTTACAACATTACTTTATTCCCCTACAGGGTAGTTAGAGATATTGTAATACCTCAAAACATCCATGTTGCACTTGTAGTACCGAAACTCTGTCCTGCCAGAAGTGAGCCCATTCCCACTTATAATGGACAGTGGGTATAATACACCTTAATACCTGAGTGCGAACCACTCACCATGATACTTAAATTAATAGATGTTATTTATATATTTCAGGTTATTACAAATAAAATCATTTTGGAAACAATTGATATCCCAAAAGCAAATAAAGCCAACAATGACAAGGTAATAAATCAGTTTTGACATAACTTGAATACTAAAAAGCCAAACAAAGGTGTGCACAACAGTGACAACATAACTTAACAATTTCATTATTTTGTAGGATTAAAGAAAGGTTAAAGAAAATCATGTCGAACTGAACAACAAGAATCCCCAAACAACTCCAAAGAAACCTACAAGGAAGACACCGGTATTATATTTAAATTATCTCTATCTCTAAATAGAATAAAAGAAAGTTGCTATCCAGGTCTGTAGCATGTGCTACAAATTATATTATTAACACATTTATATAATTATATTAATATAAATGTGTTAAAAAATTATAATATGAATTATAAAAAATTTTAAGTTTTGCATGGACAGAGCTTAAATTAATATTCTCTTATTTGTTGCAGAAAGCAAGTAGTTTTGGAGAAGCCTCGTAGATGCACAACCAAGTAATGATTAATTTAAAATTACAAACCGAAATTCTGATGAAGACATTAGAGTCACTTAAAAATAAATAGTATAATGAAATAAAAATGTTTTAAAGATAAATAGTGTTTTATTTGTTTAATGTAAGAGAATAATAATAAATATTTATTTAATTAATTTTTCAAATGTAAACTGAACTTTATTGACTTTAATGACTCCTTTTCCAGTCTTTGATTATTTAATTGTAATTAATTATTTGCATGCAATCAAAAACTATTTTTAATAATGCCAAAGAAGTATAACTTCTTACGCGCGTACATAAGTACACGCACCCTTTTTTTTATAATTTGCATGTCGTAAATTTTTTGAACTTTTTTCAATCAATATTTTTAATCAGGGTAGTATTATATATGTATCACTATAACCTTCTTTTATACTAAAGATGTATATATACTTTAGTGTCACATCAAAAATATACACATAAATAATTAATTGATTAAAAACAACCTAACGTTTGCATATTCTATGGGCTTCATACGTTCGATTGGTATAGAATTTATCTAATAATCATACCGGTGAAATGTTTAAAAAAATTTTTTTTTTTAAATTAATTAAACATACTCTGGACTGAAATTTGCTAGGCAACCCATATGGATTATATTTATTGACATATTAAATTATATATAAAATAAGTTTCATTAAATAAGCATCTCGGTGAAGGTCGTTGTATAGCGGGATCTTAGACCATTAGGTCTATTAGTGAAAAACAGTTTTGCCTTAAATTACTTTATTATTTGAAACAGCTAGATGTATGCATGTTATTATTGTTATTTCTCTGAGCGGTGGTTCGTGAGGGTTGCCACCGGGCCGCTCGTAATCGGCTTTGCTTGCCAAATCTTCTTTGCTTTTAGCCGAACCGAATATACTGAACACGTCCGAACATTACATTCATAATATTATAAAAAAGCATTGATGTTTCAAAAACGTAGATTATAGTCCTGCATTGATTTTTTCAGCTGGAGTTTTATGAACCCAAAATTTAAATTAAATTATTAAAACTTATGTCGAGACTATTTCATGTCGCAAAATATGAATGTTTAACTTTTTACCCTTTACACATGGTGAAATTGGAAATCGCAGCCGATTTCTTCCGTTCCATTGATAAATTATTGACATTTTTCACTTCTTAGCTCACCGACTTCCGCTCATAAATAGCTTGAAATTTAAAGCATATTACATCGGGCCTATAAATCAAAAACTCATCGTTAGCCTCGACATATAATCGATTCCGAACGCGTCAAACCTCTTTACGTGAAAAATAATGGCCATTAAAAATGACTTGAGATAAAATTAATAGGCTTTTTATCTTTGACGGTAATACCTGTCACGAGAAATCAAAGGTTTAGAAATGTGGCGAAGATTTACAAAAGATTTGTGGCAAAATGTATCTAAGGCCGAAAGTTTAGGGGTCAAATCCGAGTCTTCATTTTCGTGCCCGACTCCTCCAGGCAAGCCGGTTCCACCTTATCCACCACCGTCTTGTTCGCCAGTTCCCCCGTTTTACTGTTGCCCTAGGACGAAGTATGACGTAAATTTTATTTACATCAACGATGTACCTCCTCCGAGTACTTTAGGCGATGTGTTCGATAGAATTGCTCAGTCCGTGTTTTGGCTGGAAATAGTGAGAGGTTTGTTTGGATTTCAGTCCACTTTAATGAAACTCCGTAATACCCATAGTGAGCCTTGACCTCCGAAACTATTGAACCCGACTTTGGCCGATCATGCACTGCCGCTTGCCAATCGGCCATTTGCAGCTCCCGTAGGACCTTCACTAATACTTCCGACTCTTTCCAGTCATGTGTGGGCCGAATAGTGCAACAACAATGAAGTATTTTCGTTAACTTAGAATTTATCATTAACAGGATTTGCTGTAACATTAGGGCATATATTCAAGGAACCAGCAACGATCAATTACCCTTTTGAAAAGGGCCCATTGTCGCCTCGATTTCGCGGCGAGCATGCGTTGAGAAGATATCCTTCGGGAGAAGAGAGGTGCATAGCTTGTAAGCTTTGCGAAGCCATTTGTCCAGCGCAGGCCATAACCATTGAGGCCGAGGAGAGGTCAGATGGGTCAAGACGAGCCACAAGGTATGGAGAGCTAATAACCTTTTTGCTAAAAGTCCCATTTTTCTATTGTCTGGTATTCGGGACTAATTAAGAATGTTTACGTAACAGTGAAAATAAAATGTGACGTTACCTTAACAGCAAACAAAAGGATGATTGCGATCTTCTTTAATTGGAAGAAAAAGAAGGCAAGTTTAGTAGACATTTTATTATAATTATAGGTACGATATTGATATGTCGAAGTGTATATTTTGTGGGTTTTGTCAAGACGCGTGCCCAGTCGATGCCATAGTAGAAGGCCCCAACTTCGAATACAGTACCGAGACACACGAGGAATTGCTCTACAACAAGGAGAAATTACTCACCAACGGCGATCGTTGGGAACCGGAAATAGTAAGCAATATTAGGGACAACCATCTTTACCGCTAAATCCTCATAGACCTAGAAGCATAGGCTTTGAAGAAACATTTAATTTTTCTCTTATATCGATGTATAATTAATAAAAGTCGGTATAAATAATGGTTTTCCTCTTATTTCTCCACTTACCAGGTATCGATTACTAAGAGTGATTCTACTGCAAAATAATGAATAGGTCTTATAACATATGTAATGTTTCGACGTCTCGATGTCTTTGAGACGAAGTTGTCGTGAATGTACGTATATATTAGATCTAGATATACTTGTAAACTATCAAATCGAGAGTTTTAATTCACATAGAACGAAGTGTAAAAGTATGTTTGTATCTCGTCGTTCTCGGTCATTTAAATATACACGTTCCACGCTCTATAATTTTTCTCATGAAATAGTCTGTTGAAATGTGTGTTCTGCCCCACATTTTGTCCTTGGCGACCTCATGAGTGTTATTAATGGTTAATTCGTGCTTCACGTGAAATTATGTTTTCCCTTTAGGCTGTTTGCCACTAACTTAAGGTTCACCTGACCTCCTCAAGAGGCCGACTATATATAATAGGATTTTAATTAGATTACAACATTATATACAAGCTAGAAATACACATTTCAATAAATTTAGCAAAAATTATAATCATTGTATATTGCATATTGTATAATTAAATTCATTGATATTTGCTTCAAATTGAATTAAAAAACAAAACAAAACAAAAATAATTTATTCATGTAGGTCACAAAATGTACACTTATGAATGTCAAAAAGAAAGAAATATACTTTAATGCTTCTAATTTTACTTTTATTTGTTCCCATTTACATTAAAACAGTCGGTGGATGTTGACGATCGCCCCAGAGTCTGGAAATGCAGCCGAGATATTCAGTCGCGTTACCTATTTATACTGGAGCAATTCACATCCAAGCACTAGGATCGTTTTAATATTCATTTATATTATAATAGGCCTTAGCAAGCAGTTTTACTTGTACGATTGAAATTTATTTATTGACAACACTTGTATGTCACTAGGGATTTTGTTGAAAAAACGTATACAATTGCCTTGGAAAGAATTACTCGTTTTATGCAGCCTTGTGGTTGGAGCCCTAATTTTGTCTTTATTACGAGTACTATAATTATGGAAGCTACTATTCTTTTTAAAGATATCTATATTTTTCCGCACATACATATGGTGCGTTCCACTAAGCGCTCACGACGATCAAAATGCTCCTTTAGCCATTCCACATACCGACCGCGGTCGTTGTGGTCACGGCGAAAACGTCACTCATGACGTCATGACAAATGCTCACGCAACGCTCACAACGACCCATCTAAAGAGGTGGGTCGTTGTGAACGTTGAGAATAATTTGGCGCAATTTTTGAAATATGACAAATAATAATATTATTATATTCAAAGTTTAAAGATGGCGACAAGAAAAATCACATTATTTGATTCAGAAAGAGAAATTGTAAAGCCATTTCGATTTTATTTAAACTTAAGTTGTTTGATGTTTGATGATATTCTTCACTTTTAACATAAATAAATTTAAGTCACAAATATCAAAACTTATTGTTTATGATTACCTAACCTCCTTAAAATTCTACTATTTTCAAACTTGACATTTGTAATATTTACATGAACGCCCGAAACGCTCCATAATCCATTCCACTTGAGTTAACGACAGTAACATTCACAATCAAGTGGAATGGGGAAATCAGCGGTCGTGAGCGTGATCGTCGTGAGCGCTTAGTGGAACGCACCAATAATATTGTCATAAATGTATTGACATGCCAAAGTCAAAATATGTAATTCTTTAAACTTCCTTCGGACTGACTCCCGTGGGGTCAACCCACAGATCGCTCTTATAGCCCGCTTTTGCACTACAAATATCGATTTAATGTCAGCTGCATTACCCCACAAAATAACATCATATGACATGATACTATGAAAATAGCTGAAATAAACGAGCTTTGCTGTATTCTCATCCGTAAAATTGCGTATCTTTTTTACTGCGAACGCTGCAGAACTTAGCCTATTCGAAAGACCTTCTATGTGTCGGCCCCACTGAAGTTTACTATCTAAAGTAATTCCTAAGAACACCGCATTATCAACAAAGTCTATTTCCTCATCTTTAATTATTATTTGAGAATGACTACTTTTTACATTTGTATAGGTCTACCAGGATCTGATGGCAAAAAGGGAAAAAAGAAATTGACGCTAGCAATACTGGGGAAATTGGAGTAAAACGTTTTGATACTTTTTTTTTCCTTATAGCGGCTGATTCTGTGTGTGATATATGCAAAATATATAAAAATTTATCCAATGATAATTTTTGAAAATGTGGCGAATGTGGGGTTTGAAATTTAGATGAAAACTCCAATTACTCTGTTCATGAGTTTATTAATTAATTAAGAACTTTAAAATGGTTCCAAATACTGCACATCCATAAAAAAGTCTTCAACGCAGTATTTATAATAAACCTTTCCTCCTGCATCTCAATTAACCGATCTTGTTCTATGAACTTATTTTAAATTTTTATTACATGTTCACAAGATTTTCGCTATTCATCGATCCCTATTTGAGAGAAAGAAACAATGTAAAACTCATTTATCTTGTTTCTGATCAATTCTAAATCAAAACTATCCAAGTTTATTTGTGGTATAAGAAACCCCTGAAATAAACCAAAATTTAGTATAAGTACATAATATAATACACACGAAGAATCCCATAAACCAAAGTATCAAGACGTGTCATTCCTACTAACCAGTCAACGCTTGCACATGGCTCAATATCGATGATTGTGTATGTTCTGCATCTTGTTGATCAAGTATTCTTTGATAAACATTGAAAACAATATGTCTTGCTTGCGATCGAAGAGGTTTCTTCGACATTTTCATCACTTTTTAAAGGAAATTTGAAGCCAAACCAAAAACAATTCCTCGAAATTTCAGTTGACAGATGAAATTTTTCTTTTATTGCCATATGAAAATCGCTAATTTAAAAAAAAAAAATTGCCATCAGATTCTGGTAGACCTATAGTTACAAATTTAATACATTTTGTCTTCTTTTGCTTAAGATTATTTGTATTAAACCAGTGAACTGGAGATGGCACTGTTTACATTTTCAAGTGATGGATTTCGTCGTTTCACTTTCAATAAAAGCGAAGTGACATCAGCAAACATTACTATCTCGTGAAGCTCCTTTACACGTAATGGCAGGTCATTTATATTGACGAGGAATAAGAAGGGACCATGTTTGGAGCCTTGCGGTACTCCCATAGTAACAGAGGATCCCTGTGATATAGCTCCATTTACATTTACCTTTTGAATTCTATCGCTCAGGTATGATTCCATAAGATTTAGCGCTTTTTCGCCAATGCCACAGTGTTGAAGTTTTTTGATTAGGATTTCGTGATGGACACAGTCAAAAGCCTTTGATAAATCGCAAAAAACTCCAATGGCATCATGAGAATTTTCCCAAGCATTTAAAAATTCGGAAATTAATTGAATGCCAGCATCGGCGAGCGACCTCTTGTAAAACCATACTGCTGGCTATGCATAAGTTTATTATTATTAAAATGTATCAATAATTGATCAAGAATAATTTTTTCTAAGATTTTACTCGATGCAGGCAGCACAGATATGGGTCTAAAACTTGTGGGATCAGAAGTGCTGCCCGTTTTGAATAACGGTGTGATTTTACTTAGCTTCATCTGGTCTGGAAAGACTCCACAATCTATATAGCTAACTCTGAACTGATAGTATTGATTACTGAAAGTAAAATGAATATAGATAAACCCCAAAGACCTTTAGTTTTTTTTTTTAGCTGTTTAAATGTTTTTATAATATCATTGCAGCTAATGCAGCTAAATATAAACTCATGATTGCATACAGGAACATTTATTACCGCCTTCCACTGCGACCGAGAAATAGTTGACCGGCGGAACAGAGTTTGAAATGATAATAGTTTTTGCGTTCTACTAAGAAAGAGTTTTTAAAATAATTTATTTCGCCTTCCACTGAAAACGAGGTCAACTAGGCGGATCGGGAAGCGGGAAATGAACGACTACTCCGTTCATTTTCTGCCTAGTTCTCGCTCCATCCAGCCAGGTTGTGCGTCCGTTTGTGAGCGGGGAGCTGGGGCCTACCATGAACTCTTATTGCGAGCCTATTGACAACCTACAACTGAGATGCATCGCTAATTCGTACCATGACATCGAAAAAACGAGACAGTTTATGTTCCCACGTGACCTTAGCGGTTCTCAGATTTCGTTCGTTCAATTTGTATGAAAATCCGTACCATGACCGCTCGGCTGAACCGAAATTTGACAGTTGCGCCTTCCAACTATGAGAGAATAAGCTATTCTAAAAAAGTTACTTTTTGTTCAACTTTTTTTGTATCGAAATATCCAAATAATAGTTTAGAACCTATAAAATTCAATATTTGTAATAAAACTTTTTAATAAAGTTAAAATAATAAGATTTATCTACTATGGCTAATATAGGAAAAAAATATAATTTTTATATTTTTGATATATTGGGGTATTTTGAGTTTAGAGTGTGATTATAAATAAATCTAGACGACAATGCCCTTCTACCGACTTCGTAGATATTGAGTTTATAATTTACTATAGATTAACGACTTTGACTCGTTGAAGATTTCAGTGTACCTAAATAATTGCACATGGTTCAATAATATTCAATTATTTAGGCATGTCTAACAAAAACATAATTCCCCAATATAATATCACATTTTACAATAAATAAGAATGCCATTTTACTAGCAGATATTTATTATAATTAAATTCTTCCTCACTATGTTCATGAATTGTATTATTCTCCTCTGCTTTTTGTTGTTAAAAAAAACATAGGTATTTTTAAATTTATAATGTGTAAATAATAAGCCATTTAAAAATATTATAATAACAGTATTTGTTTAGTTAGGATGACTCCATCAAGATAGAAAAAGATGTCTTCAGGCAATGTTCAATTGGATATTTACATTTATTCATATAGTCTCTCAATTTAGCGATTTTGTCAGGTTAAGCTGTAAAGAAAATTATTATTATTATTATAGCCTCTTTATTTCCATAATGAATAACATATTAAACAAGTATATCATATGATTAATTATTATATAATATGTGCATGCATTGAAAAATACAATATTATTATTTATTATCTTTAAATTATATTCCAATCATAATTAATAATTTCAATGTATATAAGTTTGAAATGATAAATAAGTTAATAAGAATCAAAAACAAAATTCATTTTTATAAATCATTATAAAGTATCATTAAATCATTATGGACCCCTCTACGGGTAAAGGCCTCCTTCATTTTGCTCCACATCTGTCTGTCTTTTGCTTTAGTGGTCCAGTTTTCACCAGCTTTTCTTTTTATTTCATCAATCCAGTTTTACTTTGGTCTACCTCTTAATCTTTTTGTTGGTTCTTGCCAGGTTACCCTTGGTGTTCATTTCTCCTTGTCCATGCGAGCAGTAAGACCCGCCCAATTCCATTTTTGTCTAAAGCGTCTATTATTTTTGTTGTTTTCCTTATTTCTGTATTTCTCTTCCGATGTTGTCTTTGTATGTTTAGTAGACTCCTTTCCATCGTTCTCTGGCACACTTGTATTTTGTTTTTGGTGTAGTTATTGTAAATCCATGGCCTGGAAGCCATATGTAAGACGAGGTATTAAATATGAGTCCATTATATTTTTCTTAAGTTTTAAAATTCTGATTTAAGGGTTTCTCTATTGCTCCAGAATTTATTCCAGGTTATGTTGTCTCGTCCTTTAACCACATCTTCGTGTCTTGTCTTTGAGAAAGATACTTGTTAACCCAGGTAAATATAGCTTTAAACATATTGTAATGTACTGTTATTTATTGGAAGAGTTTGGTGGTTCGTCATAATAATAATCTTTCATTTGATAGAAAAGATTTTGCATTGTAAGTGCATACTTTTGATTACGGATTTTGGTTTTGTAGTGGAGATGGAAGGTTCTAGTCATTATCCCCCGCGGTGACCAGCCGTATTGGGAGATGAAGAGGGGCTTTCCTGTAAAGAAAATATAATTATTTATATTATATGAATTAGTTAACGTATAAATTGAGTTTGTACAATTTTAAGGAATTAATTTTTATTATAGTTACTTATGATTTTAGAGTAATAAGTTGATTTGTAATATCTTTTGCAAAGGGTTTTATATCAGTAATTCACTTCGTTATAGGTATTTATTTTTAATAAACAAATTTGTGAACAATTCTTACCCCATCCTATTATTTTACAAGTTAAACAATTTGGAAACCAAACTATATTTTTAAAACTGAAATTTTGTAAACACCAAAATATTGAAAGCTCCTATCAAAATTTGAAGGAAACGTTTAAAAATAATAAGTGTCAGCTGTCATAGCACCAGAGAACTTTCCGTTTAAAATATATCAAAAGAATAGTTTTTTATAAAATAAATATATATATATATATATATATATATATATATTAAGACATAATAGCTTATTGTGATTGATGAATTATTTAAAATAATATTATATTTTATTTATTTTTATAGAAACATCTGTCGAAGTTTGACAATTAAATTTCTAAACGTATATAGAAACCACAAACAAAATTATCGTTCTTTCATTCGGTCTTGCGATGCTAATACGTTTCAGCTTATAGGCGGTCATGGTACGAAAACATGCTATTGACTTTAGGTACCTAAACTCATCAGCATCTCAACTGGATCGTTTTAAAAAAGTTCATGGTAGGCCCCCTGAGCACCAGTATTGGGCAGCCCTTCGTAGCATCAAGCATACACAGATTAAGCATACTTTTACTTGAACTACAACTGTAGATCAGTAGTCAAGCAAATTTACATTAACGTCTCCACTAACAATAACATTTTTTTGGATTTTTGTAATTTGTACAGAACCTAAGTTTTCTAAGCTATCATATTGAGCTCCACACAAGATAATTCAATAAGGTGTTCCACAGAGAGGCTCACTATGTCCTTCCTTTAAATTTTATTTTTTTACTAAGCAATATTAATTACAAAAATTTAACATAAGTTCACATTGTCTTTAGCCAGTATTCTGTAATACACAAAATGTCAACATTTTCACTGCTCAAAAACAACTCAATTTCTAGTAATTTACTTTTCATGATTTGTATATTTTGGTGAACCGGATTGATAGTATTGTTCTTAAATTTACTTATGTTACTTACTAATTCTAGGCCAGAGAGACTCTGTTGTCTTAGATTAGATTAAATCAAAATGTTTTAGAGCAAAACCAAAGATACACCAAATAGTTGGCGTTTACGTAAATAAACTTAGATTACAACATGACATTGTGTAATATGTATTAACCCTTTTTTCAATCCCAATGTTCAATACAAACGCTACATTGCAAGGTTTATAAAAAACGAATAACCTCCCTTAATCCTTACAAAAGAGAATGAAACGTGCAGATGTGTATTTGTTGGCTTTTATAAATTCGTCGTCTAATAGGAGTATAGTATAATATACTAAATATCTGACGCTGTAAATTTACTAAAAAGCAAAACAAAACCTTCATAAAAATATACATACAGTTTATAACATTCATAAACACGGAGTTTTTAAGGAAACAATGTCAAAAACCAGAGCTATAAATTAATAAAAAAATTTAATCTAAATAATACAAAATATAATGTATCCACCCCTAAAAGCTGTCCAAGTTTTTAATCAGTTTCCACCTGTACACTTCTATCACCAATCACCAACAAATCAATTATCAGCTTGACGGCACGAACTATTTTAAGTTTTAATCACTACGATCAATCGCTGAAGGTTCTCTACAACTTTTCCATGGCCATTCGGGTCTCCAGAGAAAAAGATTTCATACTTTATCCTATATCCCCAATTTAGTGGTAGTTTAAAACCATACTCTCATTCAAACACCAAACTAAAACCTTCTATCACCCCCTCTCAGCAGATAGCTACCCTTCGGGCAAGCTGGTGACTTTTTCGTGATATGAAAGTTGGAGACGGACTCCGACCGAAAAGAAGCGGCCTTGCAATTTAGATATGACAGCCATCTTGTGTTTGGGTTTTTTGGACCAATACTTCCACCCCATAAAATTGCCGCTAGTTCTTGACCAATTGCTGCTAATTCGATCCCGTTGTGAGGACACCGCTTCCACATCCACATTTTTTACGTTTTACTTTTGAACCCTGAATAAGGCGAGAAAAAATTGTTACACTATTAAGTATTTTGTCGCGCGAGATTGATAGACTTTTTAATCCTACAATCCAATAAGACCAATGCATATTGTTACATTGTTACTTTCTTACCAGACTCGAGGTTTTTAGTAATTACAAATCCCTTATACTGAAATCGGCTTTGCGGTTTTGCTTGCATTACGTATACATGAAATATATTTCGAGCTGAATATTGAAATTCACGGGGTAGGTTTAATCCTAGTAATCTCCAGTGAATGGACTTCGTTTGACCGATGGTCCCATTTCCCGGGTCATCAGCGACGCATAATTGAATTGGGCGGAGACAAGGGACAGAGGAGAGACACCGTTACAATTGTAGAGTCAGAAATCGAGGATTCGCCTTTAATTACAAATAGACTTTAAATACCTCCGAAAAAAGTCGGTTACTCAATTGCTTTGTAACTGACATAAGCATGAAGACGCTGTGGGCTTAACATCTATTCTAAAAGAAAGAAAAATAAAATGCTGCCTAATTTTATAATCCTACTCCTCACTGGGAAGTTATTTCTATAAAACCCATTTCTAATAAAAAAATAAAAAAAAAATATGTTTATTATGGAACATAAGATACATGTATCACTTATTCCACGTCATTAAATTTGAAGGCATCCCTACTCATCGGCAAAGAAGACAGAGGGTGTAGGCCGAGAGAAAAAGCCGGCGTAAAAAACTCTCGGTACTCTTTTAAAACAGCAAATCATCAAACAACACTTATTTAAAACAAATATCGCAAATTGATTAGAAGTAGCCTGTCTAGCACTAGTCCCAGGCCCTTTTATCAACTAGATAATCGTTGACTTCATAGTAAGCCTTTTTACACAGCTTTTCTTTAATACATTTCTTAAATTTATTGAAAGGCAGTGATAAAAGAGCCTCTGGGATTTTATTAAAGAAGAGTATCCCTTTCCCCAAAAAGAATTACTAACTTTAGATAGTCTAGTACGGGGAAATAAGTACCTATATTAAATTTACAAAATGTCTAATCTGTAATCTAAAAAACATTAAATTTTATTACTTTAAAGTCATAAAAGAAGTCCAAAGTTTTTAGAGAATAACGGTGAATAGGAAAAAGGAAGCACTCATATGGATTTCAATGTTTCTGCAATTTGCATCGTGCGCTCGACTGACCTAATTCAAAACTAGTATTGGATCCGGTAAAGATAAGTGGTTAAAACAACATAGTTTGCAGGAACATGGCTAGCCTAGTTTTATCGGTAAACTCGAGTCGGCTTCTCCGTTTGTCCCGAGTTGCGAAGTTTGCGACGTCCCAGATTTCTTACAGGATCAAACTTTTTAACACAATCAGCCTACGCTGTTCTTTCTCTTCCTTGAATTACGGTGCCAACTTATAACAGTCTTTTACCGCATCACGTTTCCAAAAAATAATGTTGCCTCGTACTATGCTAATTTGTTCGTCACTTTATAGATCTGTAATCGTTAAGTCAGTTTTGTTGAAAGACTAATGGACGCGTAGTTCTAATTGAATGGAATTTTTATTTCACATTTAATGTTTGCTTTTACCAAATATATAGTAGGGCTGTAAGTTTTTAATATTTGAATTAATAAGTTATCACAAAGTCATCATATCGTTATATGAGTTTTTATATTATCTGCTCTTTGTAGTACTACGAATGAGCATAGCTTTTATAAATGGACTGGCACTTCGCGGATTGTTCATCCATAGCCAGTCAATAGATTTTCAAACCATATAACAACTACAAATATTTCAGAACGAATTGGCAATTAGCTGTAGTGCAGTGAACACGTGAGTTTCTAGTAAACTATTCATTTTAAAATAATAAAATAATTGTGTATCCTGTTTTTACAATATTATTCGCAGACGTTAAATCTATTTTAGAAACTTGTTTCCCCTGCAATCTTTGACACAATAAGCGATTCTATAAAATCTTACTTTTTGTTCAACTTTTCGGTATCGAAATGTCCGAATAATAGATTAGAACAATATTCAATATTTTAATTAAAACTAGTTCATGAAGTAAAAATAATAAGATGAACTATGTTGAATATAGTAAAAAGTTGATAATTTTTATATTTCTTTAACGATAATTCCGTGTAAAATATAGCATAATGAATGACACACCTAAACCTTTTGAGGAATCTGTATTATAAGTAAAAACAACAAAAATAGCCACCTTCTGGTTCTTCATTTGACCATAAATTTATTTTACAATAAAACAGAATGCCATATAATTAGTATTAATTATAATTAAACTTTTCCTTATTAGGTTCATGAATTGTATTATTCTCTTCTGTTTTTTTGTCAATCTTAAGCTGTAAAGAAAACATAATTTTTTATATTATATGAATTAGTTACTTTTGATTTTGGATTTATATACGTAAGTTGTTTTGTTATATTTCATTTGCAAAGGGTTGTATATCAAGAATTCACTTAGATATAGGTATTTATTTTTGGAAAATAATTTTTTTAACAAACTAATCCCATCATATGTATAAGTTAAACAGTTTGTACAACTACAATTTTGTAAACACCAAAATATTGATAGCTCGTATCAAAATTTGTCGGAAACGTTTAAAAATGTAAGTGTCAACTATGAGAGCACCAGAAAACTTAAGTTTTAAATATATAAAAAGAAGTTTTTTTTTATTAAATAATAATATGTACTAAAATAAAATAGCTTATTGTGTGTTGGACGGTTTCAATTTTGAGGGGACTGACCTCTGGAGGCGAGAGCCTATTTTGAAAACACCTTCTTCATGGTGAATTTTATATACATTAGAAACATTACACACTTTTACATATTCACAATAATCTACGTTTAAATATCACTAGGATGAATTACTGTCCGCGTCTTGGAGAGAAGTCCAATTTCATATCAGAAAACAATCTGTCAGAGTTGCTCTCGCGCATCGATCGATGTTAACGCGTTAATAGTTTTGTGCTTCGAAATTTGAATTGTGATTTAGATCGTTGCTGATGTCTACAAATTAAATAGAATGGCCTTTTCTGGCATTGTAATTTGTAAATGAGTAATTTGTAAATTACTGAAGAGCTTGGACGAACGTAGATTTGTTGTTTGTCATATAAAAGTTTATTGTTTAGTGATAGACTGGCATATGGGAAGATAGATAATCAGTGCAAAATATATAAAAATACCTCGCCTTTTAATCTTGCAAGGAACCAACGAACGAATGCTCGGACAACAGCGATATTAAGTGGTTTGTGTGTGGATTTACGTCATTAACGCATCAAGGTAGCGGGTTTATTACCGATACTTTTGTTGTATACCGTGTGTACCGTAACAAAATGTTGACCCGTAAGGCCTTAGCTCACCAGGAGGAATTCCAACGGGTTCTGCAGGAATTGAAGGTCTCCAAGGAGTTGGTTGAGCAATTGCTTAAAGAACGGGATGACAGTGAAAAAGAAATGTTGGATGCCCTTGAAAACAACATAAAGTTAAAGAAAGAAATGGCTGATTTGCATACTCAAAATTTAAATATTATCGATGAGAGGAATAAATTGCAGTATATAATAGACAGGTTTGACCAATGCAATAGTGAGTATGAGCAGACCCTCACGCACATTGCTGAATTGGAAAAACAATTACAAGAAGCAAACAATTGCATAAGTCAGTTGGAAACAGATAAGTTAAATTGGACTACCTCTCAAAACCACAGTCTTTTTGAGGAATTAGTCAGTGGTGCTCCGGATATGGTGTCTGCAGTATACAATATAAATCCTGCTGTCTCATTAAATTACTCATTAAGTGACACAAGCAAGATAGAAGCTGGTAGGAGTATTGAATGCAGCAGGAAAAAAAAAATTAGGAAATACTTTAAACACAATAAATTTATCAAAAAAGACAAAATGTTTAATTAAGATACAAAAAAGCTATTTAAATGGCTTAAAAAATAAAAAACAGCATATAGCATTAATTGACAAGTTAGAATCATATTCCAAACAAATTAAGGAAAATCAAGAAATGTATGAATGTAATATATTATTATTAAATGATAAAATAAAGTGCTTACAAGTGTCTCTGGCAAACATTACACATAAATATAATGCTTTGTCTTCTAAGAGGAGCATGAGGGAATACACACTGAACCTCAATCACCACCTAAATAATACTAACCTGGTGGATTCCCTGGCACCAGGCCTGGTTGCCTTGGAACAACTTGAATGGTCTATGTCAGTGTGTGAGCCATATATCTCTGAACAGCTTAGCTTCAATAATGATGTTAACAAAAAAGAAAATGTTTCTTTAAAAATAAACAGTAATTATGTTATGTTTAGCGATGAAGTGGGAAAAGATTTGGGATACATTTCGATGAACCAGATGGGGCAAAGTGTAAGCAATTATTGTATGCCTGGCATTTCTTTCAATGAAATGTCTGAAAAAATATTAAAATTTAAGTTTAGAGAAAATGACAATTTAATAATAATTATAGGAAATAGGGAGAATGCAAATAAGAAATCAATAACAAATCTATTTGACCATCTTCAAAGTGTTGAAGTTAAAAACATTGTAATGTTTACATTTCCCTATAGTAAGAGTTTGACGCAGAAGGAAAATAATTTAAGATACAAATTAAATGTGACATTGGATAGTTTATCGTATTATTCAAACAAAATAAATATAATTGACATAAATAAATTGTCATTTGTTGATAACAGCTTGTTTTTGAGAAAGGATAGATTGTTTCTATCTAAATTTGGTAAAAAACAATTAGCAGTAATGCTAAGCTTTTATTTACTAACTTCAGCCAAGAACTTGGCTGTTAAATCTGCTTTATTTGAGCAGTCTTCTATTATTAGGTTAGACAATGCCTTTATACAGCAGCAGAGTTCCGACAGTGCTCCCTTGGACCAAATTAGTCATGAAATAGTTGCCCCTATTGAGCAATCTAACTATGATGCACATAAATGTGTGTCCCAAATTAAATATT